TTCATGTGTTCCATCAAGTGTTTTCTTTTCTGGACAGAAAGTATGTAAAAACTGTTCAACAGTTCTAAGCGCTTTTAACTATTCTTTTAGCCATTATGTAGAGAGATTTTTATTATTATTATTTTTAATTAAATGTGTGTTTTTTTTTATATGTATGTGTCTGAAGTTATAGGAATGTTTTATTTCCCAAACACAGTCAGCACATTGTGGCCGTGTTCGTAGTTAATGTTATTGAGTGTTGACTATTTCTCTTTTATTATTAGCGTTTCCATTATTTTTAGTCTATTCTTACATGTAGATGAGGTTATATATTTCTGAAAAGTGTGGTGGCCAATGTTCTCACTTGTTCCGACATGCACCTGCCGCGGTGTACAAATTCATCAGACTCTTTACGCGGTCATTATTTTGGCTTTTCTCGAAATTGAAAATGTCGTCTTGAATATATTGCCATAGTTCTTTCGGACGAACAGAATTCTGAATAATTCTGTTGATTTTATCGATAGTCAGATTCCATGATTGTTCTGTTTTTTTCCTTTTCTTACCAAGTTGCTAAAAATGAAGAGATTAAATAAAACCAGATTGCCTCCGGTCAGTCAGTTTTGTTTTAGATACTATTAGCTGCTTTCAGTCAAACGAAAATTTTCCTTGCCGATTTATCAAATGTGTATAGGGTGCTTTCCCTTTCAATTTGATCTAATTTGAATAAAAAAAATGTCATGTATTCTTTTAAATCATTTTTTTTTCTCCCTTGTCTTTATTCATTTTATTGGAGATTATTTTCTCCGTGGGGGAGACAGATTTTTTTTTCTCCCTTTGCTTAATACCATTCATGTTATTGCCTTTGTCTTTTTTCCCTTTCTTTCATTTCTTTACTAAAACTTCCATTCTTCATTTCTTCTTTAATAGCAACGCCTTAATTGCATGAGCTTTCTGTAATTCTACACGTTCTTTGCTTTTATTTTCCTCCTTTTGCTGCTGTTTGTTAAAAGAGCTTGAAGTAATTTGCGGCTACCTTACGTTCAGGCACCAGTTCCCATACAATCACCGCAGTTAAGCAACGTCGAGCTTAGTCATTATCTTCATGAGTGACTGTTTTAGAGTACCAGGTGCTGTAAATCGGAGAGCCGAGTTCCAATTTCAGTCGGGTTTGTTGCATTCACTTACGCGCAAATAGTTTTGGGAAAGGTATGTATCGATCTTTTTTTCCCCGTTATGGGTTAATTAGTAACTATCACTAAATCATTATTATCGGCAAATAGAAATTCGTTCAATCAAAATAAAAATTTAAATAACCTGCAAAGAGTTGGTAAACCGCAGAAAAGGAACCAATCAATCAAACGAAACAACTTGAGTAGATGGTTTGGAAGAATCCGCCGTAGTTTCATTCGAGTCTTGTACGGAAACATCATGCCACTTGTTTTCTCAAGTAACGGTGATACCATTTTTAAAATTACAATCAGAAATCTGTATCCCTATTCCCACTCTCTTCAGCTTTATAAGGATATATGTCGCTTTCCTCCCATATCCTGATAAAGCCTTCTTTTCTTAATCCACAGAAATTTGTCACAGCTATAATTATTATTTTTACTGTATTTACCGTGTTTATATTTCGGCCATCCATTGCATCTATTTAGATCAGAATTTCTCAACTGGTTTCATCGGGTGCACAAATATGCCCTGAAAGGTAACCAGGTGCGCTCTAAATTAACAGAAAAGTCATTTATGAAATATTTTCATATGTAAAAAAATATATATATCTGAAAATAATTCATGGTGACATCTGCTACATGATCTTCCACATATCCTTTTACTTTACTTCATCTACTGTCGAATCATTTACCGCCGGTATTGCGTAGACATTTAACGCGTCTGTCCGCGTTTTTATGACATCTAGTTTAGGCTTTTGTCCCGTCTAGTGTTCAGAATCTGTGATCGTCTTATAACCTCATTTATTGTCCGAACCTTTACTGTTTCTGTTGTTTAGATTTCATCTCATCGATTGTTAAGAATTTCTCCTGGATTTCTTGGTCGGGCTTTTAGTGCAGCTGCTGTTATATCTTTTACCACATCGATTTGTTTGCGTTTTGATGTTCTGGCTTTTACTGCATGCTTTGCTCAGTCTGTTCCATTTTCTATTAGTTACGTTTTCCACAAATGTTATTTGGGCTCAGTTATTATTCTGTCTTTTACCGCAACTGATTTTAAGACTTTTACCGCATCTTTCCTCAGTTTTTTTCCATCTTCTATTGTTTGCGTTTTTTTTTTTTGTTTTTTTTTTTTTTGCCGGAAATGTTTTTTGAGCTTCCATTGCTTTCTTTTGCTAAGGCTTGTAATTCATTTGTTCTTTCGCCTTTTATCTGATCTATTCTTCGGAGTTTTAAAACACCTGTTTTCGGAATTTTACCGCATCTATTGTTTAGATCAGAATTTCTCAACTAGTTGCATCGGGTGCACAAATATGCCCAGAAAGGTAACCAAGTGCGCTCTAAGTTAACAGAAAAGTCATTTAGGAATTATTTTCATATATATAAAAAAAATATATATCTGAAAATAATTCATGAATGATTCATAAACTAGAAACGCCATGCTTCCATGTCTAAGTTAAGTCTTTCTCATTTGATATTTTAAATTGTATGCTAAATTCCTTAACAGAAGGAGAGGAACGGGTCATTGTATGTGCTGATCGTGATTTACATATCAAGCATAAAGAGGCATCCATTGATCAATTCTTTCAATAGCTAGTAAAGCATTCAATAGTTTATTGCATTTTCCCACATCCTACGTCTGTGTATTAGCATGTTCTGCATATATCAACATTACAAGCTAAAATAGAGAAATATTAAATGAATTGCATTGATAGAGAAATCAGAATGTATTTATTAGATACAGCGCTGTGCAAATATAAGTAAACATATGAGATAATATTTTTTTTAAAATTGTCTCTTTTTCCAGATGATTCTTTGGGAGCTGTTGTAATTCATTTAATATTTTTTTTTCTTAAATGAATAGATAGTAATACAGTGTAACCCGGATATAAGAGACCCTGATATAAGAGAAACCCGGATATAAGAGATATTTTTCTGGTCCCAAATTAGGGCCTGTGTTAATGTATATAAAATAAAAACGGATATAAGAGAAACCCGTATATAAGATAAACCCGGATATAAGAGACTTCTTCTCCGGTTCCGACAACTCTCTTATATCCGGGTTACACTCTACTTAATAAATGATTATTTCAAGAGACTCTTTTACTAATTTTCATTTTTTAAAATAGTATGACTATTTTCGTTATTAAAATTTAAAATTCCCCGCACCGACTTTTAGTTATTCTCTAAATGTACCCTAAATTAAAAACGTTGAGAAACACTGGTGTGCCTCTGACGTAGTAAGGTGGTTAATCATTAATTTTAAGCATAAAAAGAGTTAAGCTCAAAAAGAAATATGAACTAGAGGATAGAAAGATAAAAAGAGAAAATGGAAAAATATTCCCCGATAATGTTGAAGTGAAGAAAGGCTCATCTGGGTTACCTCAACCTTACGAACTGGAAGGACACACCGAGGGTTTACATTTTTTTATCTATCGAAAATCTCGTATGTGGGTAAAGCAAACTGGGAAATGGCTATATCCCTGTCTTGGGAAATTAGAAAATCACATGTCATTAGCGAAAAGAGAAGCAGGTGAAAATTATATTTTCGTTAGCGAAAAATAATTGAGAAATGAAAACAGTGAAGGGACCCGCTACAAAGGTTAGGATTATGAAAGCCGTCCAGTCATAATAGGCCAAGAATGGAAAACAGTGTGTCTCTTTGTTGAGAATGAATATAACAAATATATGTTCATTGGCGAAAACAAATTGGGAAACAATTTTAGCAATCGCTCGGGAGGCTACAATAAGAAGCTGGCCTGGTTTAAGTTTCCGCTACACTGGTGGGTCCAGGAAAGAAGTAAGTGAATTGAAATTAATGAGGAGATTAAACCACGCATTTCTTCCACGCACTTTAAAAAATAGAGTTTTCACAAAGAGAGTTATGCCAGTCCTGGGAAGTGGACAGAGTTAGAATATCGAGAAGGAAGGAGGAAGAGGCAGAATTTAGCACCGCCTGTGCGCAGTAACGGTGTGAGATGTGATGTGAAGAAGGAGAGAGTTAAGGAAAGAGCTATCCCTGTGACTACTCTAAAGGAAGGTAGATTATTCTCCAAATTTGGAAAGTTCATTTAGAAAGCATAAATAGGGAACAAAGAAAACTTTTTTGAAATGAATGGAAATTTGGGAATCATTGAATCACCTTTATCCCCAGGCCAGTTTTGGGCCGAAGTACATATAAGCAGATGTCTTTAGGTGCTAGGAGATTTGGGTTGAGATCCCGCAATGAATGCCTCTGAAGTCCACGTCAGTTACCAACAGATCTGCTGATTCCAATGCATTGAACCAAGCTGCTCCATAAGTTTAGTCATGACCCAGTGTCACTATAAAGATTAATGCGGTAAGTGTTAATTTTTGTTGTACAAAGAGCTATATAAACTAGTTGAATATTAAACCCACGAATTTATCTTTTTTTTTGTCGTGAAGCTATTTTTCCTTAACCCGCCACGGCTTGAGCTAGCGCTGCGAGACCAAAACATTTGGTTTTCTACTGCTCTGAGGTCAAGAAAACAGCATGGGCAAATTTGATGTGGATCGAAACGGCCAGCGTCCAACACTCAGCATGGAACAGCGTCAGCATTGACCAGCGAAGAGTCAGCCCTGTGGTTAAAACGTCGTTCTCAGACACCGAGGATAGAAGATAGAGGGCGGTCAAAAAGCGTTATCTCTGCTTTATACTCTTAGCTGTTTTATTTTTTCAAGTGAATACCTCAACTCTTTTTCCGGTTTTAGCCTCATCTGTTGAGCAAGATTTTACTTTATATATTATTTTAGATTTTACCGCATTTGTTATTCAAATATTTACCTCGTCTATTTTTCGGGTTTCTGATTAAATTTCGGATTTTTGTATGACAATTAGGATCGAAAGAAATTCAAAATGTTGTATCGATTTTTCTTTAGACAGAATTCATTTTCAATTCTATTCCAAAGGGGTTTCTTTTTGCGGATTCCTGCGATGTGATTTAAAGATCTAAGAACATAGGATATTTGCAAGTTACAATTTATATGGTAAACAACCTGATCTGACAAAGGATCATCAATAGACAATTTCAGATTATATGCTTTCGCCCGATGTTCTTTTTAATATTCTTGATTTGGCTGCTTTTTTCTCATTTCTCCTTTTCTGAACCTATCCATTATGAATTCCGTTTCGTGTAGAACATTTTGGTGCTAATGAATTTGCACTAGAATGTTTAATAACAATACGAATAGGTTTATTTACTTTCATAAGCAGCTATATTATATCACATTAAGCGGCTCAGAAGCTCAGCGAAAATTATCCATACTGGTGATATTAATTTACATTATTTTCATTATTCGGGTTGTTATCCTCGTCTTCATTGCCATATTCCCAATTGTCTTGGCCTTTTTTACGCTCCGGCCTTCTTCGGGTGATTGGAATTTCGAACCGAAATTATAACTAAGAACCTCATTCGAATTAATTAATCAGGAAAATTGAAATTGCTTCTCATGAAACTAAAATTGACATTTCTCTAGTGACTGGAGGCAAACGGTCGTGGGTTTAAAATATTCTCTAAAATTCAAAATATTTAACTAGTACCCCTTAATTTTAATAGCCTCAGGTTATTAATAAATAACTGATATCGAAAATCTTTGTCTCTATTTTTCTGTCTGTCTGTCAGTCTATCTCTCTCTCTCTCTCTCTCTCTCTCTCTCTCTATATATATATATATATATATATATATATATATATATATATAATATTTTTGTATGTTTATTTTAAAATAATTTTACCCTAAGAAAGGCGATAAAGCCACTGTGACGCAAGAGGTTAGTGAGATTGAGGATAATAACAGAACTGTATTGAAAGAGAGAGAAGATGAAGACGGACATTGCTTTTAAATTTTTACACACTGTAATTAACAGGAATGCAAATGTGATTTTACACAAAAGCGACGTGTGTGAGAAAAAAAAATTCTTAATACAGAACTTACCTTTGCAACTAGCTACTTCAAAAATAAAATGATGAGATTGGTCTGCCAATCTAGTCTGGTCCTTAACTTCGTGAAGGCCAGACACCAACACTGAAAGGTCATCAGAAGAATAACTTTGAAAATATTGATAGAAAAGTCATAGGGAAACTACATTAAGGCGTTGGAACAGGGACTGAAACCGAGATTACAATTCAGGACCGATAATGTAGTAGAGACTTCTGCGGATTTTATCAAGAATCTATAATGCATGACAAAAGCACTAGATCAGATATGGCAGCAATATTTGATAGACAGAAAATGGCCGACTCATAGATTATGGTAGACAATGTAGGTTCTGTGTTAAAAATTTCTAGCTTTGCTAAGCGTTAATTAGTATTACTTCTATCATAAATCATTATTATCTACAAAAAGTTCTTAAAATCTAAAATTATTTTCTGCCTTTAAATATCCGACAAAAGTTTAAAAAAACAAATCAATCAATCCTCTCTCTCTCTCTCTCTCTCTCTCTCTCTCTCTCTCTCTCTCAATATATATATATATATATATAGTGATTTTACAAACGTATCTAACATGTGGCACAAAGCCGAAAGTATTGGGCACTCAGTGAGGATCGAAATCACTACTCAGCCGTAATTGTTATATATATATATATATATATATATATATATATATATATATATATATATATATATATATATATATATAAGGTTCTTAGTTATAATTTTGGTTCAAAATTCCAATCACCTGAAGAAGGCCGGAGCGTAAAAAAGGCCAAGACGATTGGGAATATGGCACTGAAGACGAGGATAACAACCCGAATAATGTAAATTAATATCACTAGTATGGATATATATATATATATATATATATATATATATATATATATATATATATATATATCTCGAATATATATATATTTCATAACGGTCAGTCTGTATTCAGGACATGAAGATTGCAAGTTTGCATGAAACTCCGTGTCGTGCTATTTACGTTGTATATTATGTATATTCGCTAATATATATAAATGTGTGTGTGTGAGAGGGAGAGAAAGAGAGAGAGAGTAATTCTGTGTGGCTGTGGGTGCGTGTGCGCGCGCACGTGCGCCTGTGTGTACAAAGAGAAAGAGAAAAAGAAAGTTCCAAACAGACAGAGTGGGATAAAGAGAATTCAAACAGGAAGGAACGAGGTGAAGAGCGAAAGCTCACAGACAACGACAGAATATGTAACTTTAGTAATAGTTTGAATAGTAAATGAAACTGTGCTAATTGGTCACATAAAAATCGGACACATTCTAGTGACCTGCCTGAAAAAGAATTGGGAAATGTCGTGTCATCATCCAAAACATGGAAAAAATATTCTACATCAATGATTTTATGGCATTGTTATATGTCTCTGTCAAAATATTCGGTATATCGAAATAGATAAATGTTGAGTCATAGCGAAAATATATACATATGTGTGTGTGTTCGTGTGAGTGTGTGTGTGTGTGTGTGTGTAGAGGTGGATAGATAGCTATGAACAGACTGTAATAGATAAAAATGAAAAGACGAAGATATATATATATATATATATATATAGATAGATAGATAGATAGATAGATAAGCGACAATGCATAGATAGATAGATAGATAGATAGATAGATAGATAGATAGATAGATAGATGGATAGATAAGCGACAATGGACATATAGAAAGATATGAACCGACATAGATAGATAGATAGATAGATAGATAGATAGATAGATAGATATGAATCGACCTAGATAGATAGATAGATAGATAGATAGATAGATAGATAGATAGATAGATAGATAGATAGATAGATAAGCGACAATGGACATATAGAAAGATATGAACCGACATAGATAGATAGATAGATAGATAGATAGATAGATAGATAGATAGATAGATAGATATGAACCTACCTAGATAGATAGATAGATAGATAGATAGATAGATAGATAGATAGATATTCGCATATTGATACATGTTTTGTTTCGCTTTGTTTTGTCATACGACATATCAACCTCATTGGGTTATTTAATGCTGACAAGTTTTTTTAAGATAGATTCGTATGAATATAATATTTATTCGGTTTATAAATCATTTTTCATTGACATATTTTTGTAAAGAAGATTATAGTTTCCAGACACTGTGTCATTCTTTCAAAGTTTTGGAATAGGGACAATGAATGACTGTCTCTACATTTCTGAGAAGTTGCCATTTGTCCATATGCTATTATACATTCTTAATAACAGTTGTAATGATTTGTTGGTCAAATTTCCCTTTAATGAATTCGTACTAGTTAAAATCTGGACCTACAGATGTATTGCGGGCTTTCTATAAATATTCATTTAGTTCCTCCAGAGTGAATGGTAAGGTATAGCTCTCGGCATTATTTGATTTAACGTTTGTTTTCCGTTTTTTGTTTGTCCTTAAAAATTGATAGCTATCATTCTTGGCAGATGTATTTTTATAAATTGTTCTGGCTAGTTGGTCAGCGCTATCCTTTTTACTGGTTATTTTAGAGTTATTTATAGAGAGAGGTTATATATTGTTTGTTTGGTATCTGCCTGCTATTTTCTTTATCATATCGGATTTTGTTTTTATAGCATAATTGAGTCAGTTGACATAGTTTTGCCAGTATCCGTTTTTTGTGTCTTTAGTTATTTTCCGTGATATTGCTCGGAGATGCTAAAAGTGGAGTAAATTAGAGGTTGTAGATTGTTGAATTCTCTCAGAAGAGCTCTTCTTAGCCTGATGACTTTTTCATTTAACCAAGGTCTCTTGCGTTTTATTAGTGTTGAACTTCTTAGCCTGATGACTTTTTCATTTAACCAATGTCTGTTGCGTTTTATTAGTGCTGAATTTTTTGGAATACATTTTTTAACTATAGAAAGTAGATTTCTGTGAAATGTTTTAAGTCCTTGATGTTTTTAATTATTTTTTCAGAAATAATGGTTTTAAAATTCATCGCAATTCGCTCCGCCTAATTTCCAACGGAGAGAATTTTGTCATTATGTTCCGAGTTTTGTAGAACGCTTGACAAGTGATCGCTATCGCCTGTCTCCCTGTACTTTTCATGAGATATCCATATAAATTGAGGGATCACATACGAATAGGTCTGTTACTGATTAGCTGACAGAAAATGGATTTATGTAGTCGGAGTTTTAATATTATAAATGCATATATCGTTGTTATAAATTATTGTTTCTAAGGCCCCTTTTGGTTTGTGCATATACAACTCCTTATGGTGCTGTGACAGTCCACTCGTATCATAAAAAAGACAATGAATTGTCATGATTTCATTAATTTTTGTTTCATTTACTGTTTCAATCAGTGGGATATATACGGAAGAGATGTGTATCGGCTTGTTTAAGGTACTTTTAACAGTAATGGCCGGTAAAGTAGTTGTTAAATTTATTTTACTTTGAGGTACATTCCTAACTAGTATGAATGCACCGCCTGATGCTCGAAGCCCAGTGACATGTGAGCAGTTGTATTGATGGTATTTTTTTATATTCAGTTTTTCATTATGCTTGAGGAATGTATGTTATTAGCAGGAGCAGTTCATTTATGTTTGCCTTCATTCTAAGGCAGTTCCATTAAATGATTGCTAAATGTTTTGGGGATTAATATTAGTATGTGGTTGGGATTTTATTTTCCGAGGTTTTGAGTTTGGCCGTTTTGGCCGTTTGTCAGTTCTTCATTTATTCTACTATTTGCATTGCTCGGACTATCATTCTCATTTTGTTTCCATATTTACCACAACGTTTCGACCGTTGTACGCTCCAGCCTTCTTCAGGTGGTTGGAATTTCTTCCAGTTTACGAAATCGGCTTTGGGTAGAAATTTGATCACTGTGAATATATGGTTTTTTTTTTTAGTTTTTTTTTTTTTCTTAGCTGCTTCAGTTATTTGGAGGGAAAACTTCTAAAGTCTTTCTTTGAAGTTTTTTTTTTCTTGGTGGACGTATAGCAGGTAGCTGTGATAATATCTTGGTAGGAGATTTTGTGTTTTGGGGGAGTGTGGTTTGTGTTTGAGCGGTAAATTTTGTATGTAATTGTTTTTATTCATTATTTCAATTATTTAATTGACTTGCTTTTGTAGCTCTGGCTACACTATGTCCTTGAAGTATATGTCCTTCGAGCTGTTCTGAAATTTGGGCCAGTAATTTGCTCCCAAGAGTACGACGTTCTCAATGATCTCTCTGTATTAATCAGGTTGACTGGTATTATTTCTCGTCCTTACTTGCGTTATTTTTGCATAGGAAGGGTCTTTGATGTAACCTACAAATTGCCTAGCCTCCACGAATGAGACATTTGATTTATGCTTTTACTTCGGCCATTTCCTTTTCCCTTTACCAGAAGTTACATGATCGTGAGAATGCTGGATGTTTTTTGCTGGCAGTTACCACATCTTACTTTATAATGGCATTCTTCTTCCGTGTGGATTTAACCTTTTCGGCCATTTTTTCCAAATGTTGGGTGACTCCTGCAGCTATCGTTATGATGGCCAAATTTTTGGCACTTCCATTGGTTTAATATGGTACCAGACTTTTATTTTTCTAGAGAACTGAGATGAAACAAAAATAAGGATATACATGTCTGTTGTCATAGTTTCTCTTTTCCTATCGCAATAAAAGTTAGGATTCTACGGTAATTATTGCCCGCCTCTGAATTTCTTAAGGCAGATGTGATTTCCTCAGGTGTGATCAGAGACTAACATTCTGCTATTAATAACTCCCTTAGAAGTGTTCAGTCATTCATGAGGGAAGGTTTTGTTGTTTTTTATTTAGATGATATGGAAACTATTCATTTGGATTAAGCTTTGCCATTTCACAATTTATTAAGTGTTTTGGGGTTGCAACTACTGGATAGAACTTTGTCAATTAAGAAAGTGGAATGTTTGGCTAGAGAAGTTTCATCTAAGGACGCGTACCTAACCCTGGCTCCTGTAAACCCCAATCGCCAGGATCCCGTCCCAAGGCATTATAGGTCGCAATAGCAAACAGGTGGCCACATTGATGGGTTTTACCCCTTAAAAGAAATACAATCAGCGTCTTCTGAAGCCACAGCTGAGAGGGCGAAGATAGATAGATAGATAATCGCAAATAGATAGATAGATAGATAGATAGATAGATAGACAGTCGCAAATAGATAGATAGATAATCGCAAATATATATACATATATATATATATATATATATATATATATGTATAGATAGATAGATAGATAGATAGATAGATATTCACAAATAGATAGGTAGATAATCGCATATAATATATATATATGTATATAGATAGATAATCGCAAATAGATAGATAGATAATCCAAATATATATATATATATATATATATATATAGATATAGATAGATAGATATAAATAGATAGATAGATAGATAGATAGATAGATACTCGCAAATAGATAGATAGATAGATAGATAGATAGATAGATACTCGCAAATAGATAGATAGATAGATAGTTAGAGAGAGAGATAATCACAGATAGATAGCTAAGCGCAGATAGATATATAAGCTCAGATAGATAAATAAATGCGTCTTTAAACTATCGTGATTATATTAATCATCCATTTGAATGTTAAACTTAGATTATGTTATGAATATGTGTGTTCTTTCATTAATATGTATGTATATTCATGTGCGTACCAATCTGTCTCTATTTTCATGTGTGGGTTTGTGTGATTGCTGCTGGTGATCGCTGTACTGACCATTCTCTATTGATAAACTTTAATCTATTTCCGAATGTACCAAGCAATGTCTAGCCTGAGAAAATAAAAAAAGACAATTTTAAAATCTCAGTATGTGATGGTTATGAATATAGGAAAATAAAAAGATATTCACTAATTACCCACTAATTAGCATCTTAATTGGACTTACATGAAAATGTCCGATTTGTATTTCAATAAAAATAGTTTAATAGCCCAAACCAAAAAAGAAAGAAAACAAAACAAGATACCTGTTTATCTGTTCAAAATAGAATTCACTTATAATCGAATAAGTGTGTGGTTTTATAAATAATATATTGAATAATGCTTTATAAATGTCATGTATTTAGTAATGAAAAAAAGACTATACTATGATAAACCCATTCAATGATTTTTAGGCATACAGAAGTTGATTACCTACCTTTTGTTGAGATGAAGTTACGTGGGTGAAATGACGACCGCTTAATGACGTCACATCATGATGTGACGAAAGTGGTCAGTCAGTCAGCATCCATATGTTAAACCGAGCAGTTGCTTTTTTTTTAGCGTGGTCTTCTCGGCTCGGGCTAAGGTTAAATCTGCCTCCCCTAGTCATGTGTTGTAGTTAACAAGCAGATGATGCAGTTTTCTTATGGATATACATCTTCACCACATATATAAAATTTATCCTGCTCGCAGTCTGAGGAGGGGGGAGACAGTATTGTGGAATATATCCTTGTTGGCAACATAGTAGATGAGTCCAACCAGCTCGAATCTGTAATCCTAAAGAAACACAGAAAAATCTCCGGCAGCTTCCGTTCCTGTTAAGAATTATTACACCTAAGACTCTTTTTCATCCTGCTTGTTGTGTTGATATAGGTTATATTTTTCCCTGAGTGGATCACTTTTAAATATATGTATATAACTCTGTGCGAAAAACTCTCCTTGAAAACAAAGTATGTTTGTAACTCCTTTTCCTTTCAGCCATCTATTCCCATCCATGAAATAATGTTATTATATCATGGATAAAATAACTCCATAAAGTGGGTGATGTAAACGGGTGAATAAACCATTCTTCCATAGTGAACCCATTATCTATTAAATTACACATGACGTGACAATATATTATTAATGAAGATATTTAAAACATATGGCGCGAAACGAGCGTTCGAAACAATTAAAATGCTCAAAATGTTACAAAGAAAGATTACCGAAATATAATGGGTAAAAATTATATTTATGCTTTTTGCGTTGGGTATTCTATAGATCAATATTAACAAAGGATTGTAAGCCATTTGTCGTATAAGCTTAATAAGTAAAAGTTAATTTTATTTCTTGCTGGCTGCAACTAAAGGTTTCAATATCTCAGACGTTAAGAATCGATTAAAGTTTAAATTGTTCTTTTCTATTTCCAATCTCGTTTGTCAGATAAAATATAGATTCTTTGATTTAACTTTCTAAAAAAACCCATTGTCATAAACTTTGTGACACTTATTTTTTCGTCGTATTTTCTTACAGAATTTCGGCAGTTGTATTCCTCGACTTTGATCTTCTGACTGCTTCCTCACCCAAAAAATCAGGTTGAATGCATTTCATTTCGAGTTCTGCGGAGGAGACATGATTTTGTATCTGTAGAACCCTCACTCTTTTTTATATATATATATATATATATATATATATATATATATATATATATATATAAACAGTAAAATCGACCTTGCTAACCGAAACGCTCCTCTGTGACTCAATTGGTAAAAGTACGACAGGCTATATGACGGTTCCGTATAGGATACAGGTTTAATTCCAGTCGGAGAAGGCATATTTTCTATGAAAATTTCTCGGATATTCAGGCCGGTAAATGTTGTTAATACTGTTTATTATAAACAGAGCATTTACTTAAATATTTGTATCCATAAAAAGAACATCTAAACATAAATAAGTTCATATATATATATATATATATATATATATATATATATATATATATATATATACATATATATGTAAGGTGCGATGGATAAATTGCCGTATAAATTACGCATAAATGAAAACGACACTGATATGTTTAACAAAATTGCGCCAAAAATATCTTGAAATATTAAAGCTTAAATTTATTCAAAAAAAGGCATCATGAGTTTCAACGACGGTCAACGATTTCCTTCTTTAAGTTTATAAATATATATATATTCCGTTTATAAATTTCTGTATAATATACAGATACCCAACATATAACTCAACAAAAAGAACTGAAACATTACACAAGACAAAATATCACCAAGGAAAGAAAAAAGAAATGAATCAATTTCAAAAGGAAAACACTTACCTACGCAGTAAATTAAAGTAATCGATGCCTGGCCTATCCAGACAGAACAAATAACGGTTGACAACGTCAACACACACCAAGGAACAGTTTGAATCGCTACTTAAGTTTCACGCTCTTCTGATTTTCAGGCGACTAGATTGCACACACATACACAAATACACATATATGGATTGAATAACTTCACACATTATTATAGCAATATATATATAATATATATATATATATATATATATATATATATATAAATGTTAAGAAATGGACCGACAATTTAAATTAAAGACATAAATGAAAACGACACTGATATGTTTAACAAAATTGCGCCAAAATATCTGTTTTGAAATAAATTAATGTCTTTAATAAATAAATTTATCGGACCTCGTCCATTTCTTAACATAAAAAGGCATATGGAAGATTGAGTTTCAACGACGGTCAACGCCATTTTCCTTCTTTAAGTTTGAATATGAAAATTCTCGGACATCATCCGGTAAATGTTATTTAATACCATAAACAGTATTTGCTTAAATACTTGCTATAAAAAATAACAACGTTAAACATAAATAAAATGTCTTTAATAAATAAATTGTCGGAAATTTTTTAACATATGACGTCATTTGTTTACATTCGATACGCCAGAGCAGTTATGAATTACGAGATTCATGGAAGATTGTAGTTTATAACAGTAAATTCGACCTTGTCTTTTTTTCAAGGCACGTATATGGCGGTTCCGTATAGGACGCAGGTTCGAAATTTGTCTATGACATGAAAATTTAACATTCAGGCCGGTAAACAAAAGAACATTTGCTTAAAACTTGTATCTATAAAAATAACAACGTTAAACATAAATAAAAAAATGTCTTTAATAAATAAATTGTCGGACCTCGTCCATTTCTTAACATATGACGTCAATTTCATTCGAACGCCAAAGCAGTTATGAATGTACGAGATTCATGGAAGAAGTTTATAAAGTAAATCGACCTTGTCTACCATAAGGTTCATGGTCACGCCAGCGTATATGGCGGTTCCAGGATGCAGGTTCGAATCCTGTTGAACGAATATTTTCGTGAAAATTTTCGGACATTCAGGCCGGTAAATGTTATTTAATACTGTTTATCATAAACAGAGCATTTGCTTAAAACTTGTATCTATAAAATAACAACGTTAAACATAAATAAAAATGTCTTTAATAAATAAATTGTCGGACCTCGTCCATTTCTTTAACATATGACGTCATTTGTTTACATTCGATACGCCAGAGCAGTTATGAATGTACGAGATTCATGGAAGATTGTAGTTTATAACAGTAAAGACCTTGTCTACCATAAGGTTCATACACGAGTGGTCAAGGCACGCCAGCGTATATGGCGGTTCCGTATAGGATGCAGGTTCGAATCCTGTCTATGAACGAATATTTTCTATGAAAATGACATTCAGGCCGGTAAATGTTATTTAATACTGTTTATCGGAGCATTTGCTTAAATACTTGTATCTATAAAATAACAACGTTAAAACATAAATAAAAATGTCTTTAATAAATATATATATATATATATATATATATATATATATATATATATTTCTTTATATTTATCCTTTGTATGCACTTTGTATGAATTTTTTTCCAATCGATTATTTCATAGAAAATACCCAAAACTCCAACAAACATCAAATTAAATTCTTTGTAGATTTTGTAGACATTTAGATTTATATCAAACTTTAACCCCAAAATATAACCTTTAAAGTAATGCGAAATAACAGCGTCTAAGAATTTGAGTGAAACCTTCTCTCATGATTTATTTTATTGTATCTTTTTCCTTTTATATAAGTTTCTTCTTCACCCCTTACACATCTATATCTAGAGATAACATACGTTAAGTTAAGCGATGTCTGGCCCACACCAAGGGAGTTTAAGGATAAAGAATCGAAATGGTACATCTAACTCACTCATGTCTTCTCTCCCCACTCACTTCCTCACTTCGTTAATTTACATATGCTTAATACGGCCCGTCAAAAATGTGCAAATTTCTTTTCATTTTTCATTTCAACCTTTGGAAGTAAAGTCTGATGATCCACAGCCCTTTTAAAGGGCTGTGTCGAACTGAACTTACATTGAGCTCTCTGGATATCATCCTCCTTGTGTCTACCCATACGGATTACCTAGTTTTGCATAAACTAAATATATATATATATATATATATATATATATATATATGTGTGTGTGTGTGTGTCAAAAAACGCCTTAATATATATATATAGAAATATATATATATATATATATATATATATATATATATATATATTTGTACGTATTTGTATGTGTCTAAATATTTCGGATGAATGCATCTGCAAGGATATGAATAAGGAGACAAAAATCAGAATAATGATTTTCAGAATTGGTTCGGTTCGGAATCATTTCGGCACTCCACTGTATCAAAGAGAACAAAGTAGAAAAATTCATCGATTTGTTTTCATATCGTTGACAGAAACTAAAATTGACCGGTTTATTCAGTAAAAAATACAACCTCCGTTCGACATTACCTTTAGTGGATGACATATTTTTCATCTCGTTTTTTTTTTAATTTTATTTTCTGCCATTTTAAGCAACTTCCGAATTTTATTGAAGAACATCTTTTTATTTTTCTCAGTAAAGAACAACTTTTGGAATATTCCAGAGAAATTTAATTTTTTTTATGAGATTTCAGTAAGA